GTCAAAATTTTGGTGTCGATCATTCGATTTCATCCTGGACACTACAGAAAATGGGCTAAAAGTGTTAAAAACCGGAATTCTCCTTTAAATTACAATCATCAACAGAAATCTTAGATTTATGCTAACTTTGTGGTTGGTGCATATTATATGTCCTGCTAGCCTCTTTAGCCCCTTTCAGCTCATCCTCCCTTCCTCAGATTGACAGTACACCTGCCAATCACACTTTGAACAGTGAATGAAGGTTGAATTTAACCCATCCATTTTACACCCATGGTGCGACTTGGCGGATAGTTGTAAATTCAAAACCACTAAGAACCATCTGAATCTGTTAAACAAAATACTATGAAACAAGAAACTATGTTATAGAATACAGTAATACTATAAAATACTATACAAAGACTGGGACATGGAGTTTTCCCCCTTTATTGTTATTAATCATATGTACACTATAGTATTACTATTAAATATCTTCTCACTTTCAAAGCATACTAACACAGGCTGCCGACAAATACATAGCAAACAACTATAGAAATAGAAATAAAAGCAAATTACTGGAGAAATGTGATTATATATGAAGACACAGACTGCATAAAAACACAAGATAAAAAAAAAAAACACTAATAACGGAAGAAGTATTTTGTATTTTATAGGAGTTTAAAATGATTAAAATATTACTCAATATGACTAAGTGCTAAAAGTGTAACTCCCCATGATATGATAGCACAACTCGGCACCCAGACGTGTTTAGAAAAATGCCACCAAAGTAGCTGGTACCCATGCAGCTACAGAATGCGTTCAACACCTTGACTGAGACTCTTTTGCACACTGAAGTTAGATGCAAGTTTAAAGCATTTTTTATGCTCCTAAAGGGTGTTGAACAAAGTTAGTACAGATGTCTGATGCACGTTGGAAGGAGTTACCCATTTCTGTTCCTCTGTAAGTTTCCTTGGTAGAATTGCAGATGCAGCTATGTAAGAGAGTGGCATGACTGTTGAGTAAGTTTTTGCTGACTGAATTTGATGAGCAATAAATAAGTACGTTTAGGATGTGTTGTAAGCAAGCAAGTACACCTCAAAATGCATCCATGCAGTCAGTTTATCAGGATTATAATCCTAGTTTTAGAAAGTTGCTATGAGCAGCATGGGCCCCGTATACAGGTGGTCTGTAGTACTGCAAATCTGTAGCACCGCAAATCCCTTGTGCAGCTCCCTAGAAACCAAGCAGGAAATTGAGGATTTCCGGCTGCCTTTCACAGTGGCTGAAAGTGAAGATAGGCCTTTTTGTTATATAGCTGGTGGTGAAAATTTGAAGTAAGATAATATAAAATTAAAATAATTTAACATTTTTTGGCTAGATATAGGTTTTTAGTTATAAATTGTTTAAATATTTTAGTTGAGTACTATTGATCAGAGCAACCTCACTTTTCCTTGTACATAAAAAAATAAATCCTTTGGCTTTTCATATAAACCAGGGAAAGGCAATTGTATTTATATGGCACATTTCAGTTGCATGACAATGCAAACTTTATTTAAGTGAACTATAACCCCATTATATCTACACTCACCGGCCACTTTATTAGGTACACCTGTCCAACTGCTCGTTAACACCTAATTTCTAAGCAGCCAATCACATGGCGGCAACTTAGTGCATTCAAGGCATGTAGACATGGTCAAGACAATCTCCTGCAGTTCAAGCCGAGCATCAGTATGGGGAAGAAAGGTGATTTGAGTGACTTTGAA